TTTTCCTGCTTGTTGGAAAATGGCATCTGTGGTTCCAATATTCAAAACTCTAGAGAAAATTCTGACCCCGATCAGTCTTCTTTCTGTTATTAGCAAGGTTTTTGAGTCTTTGATCAACAAATTCCTCACATCTCATCTTGAGTCAAATAAACTGCTGTCAGACAATCAATACGGTTTTCGATCCTCTCACTCTACGGCCGACTTGCTAACTGCTGTAACTGAAAGATTTTATCGCGCATTAGATGGAGGCGGTGAGGCTAGGGCTATTGCTCTCGACTTATCTAAAGCTTTCGACAAAGTTTGGCATGCTGGTCTGCTCCATAACCTTGCTTCATATGGTGTTTCTGGGAAAGTTTTTGAAATTATCAAATCATTTCTTTCTGACCGGTTTATTAAAGTCATCCTTGAAGGCCAACACTCTTCTTTATTTCCAGTAACTTCTTGGGTTCCCCAAGGTTCCATCCTGGGCCCTGTTTTGTTTCTTATCTACATAAACAATCTTCCTGACAACTTTTTATCTAAAGTAGCTCTTTTTGCTGATGACTCAACTTTATACTCCTGTCTTGACAAAAAGTCTTCTCTTTTCGATCGCCCAGAACAAGCAGCTGATCTTGAATCTGATTTCACTTCAGTAATAGATTGGGGTTCATAGCGGCTTGTGAATTTCAACTCAAAAAAAACCCAATTGCTTACTGCAAACAACTACCGTAATATGGTCAACATTGCTATATTAATGAATGGCAACTCTCTTGCTGAGTCGTCTTCTTTACGTCTTCTTGGATTATCGCTCACTACTGACCTTTCATGGAAACCATATACACAATCGATTGCTAAATTAGCTTCTGCTAAGGTTGCTTCTCTTTATTGTGCTTGCAATTTTCTTACTTCTGATTCCATTCTCTACCTCTACAAACCTCTTATTCGTCCCTGTATGGAATACTGTTGTCATATTTAGGCTGGTTCTTCTAACGATTCACTTTCTCTTCTTGACAAGGTCCAAAAACGCATTGTAATTGTTGTTGGACCTGGACTATCTGCTTAGCTTGAACCTCTTTCCCATCGTCGTAAAGTTGCATCTCTTTCTCTTTTCTTCAGATACTATCATGGTCACTGCTCAAAGGAGTTATCATCTCTAGTTCCATCAACTAAAATTCATTCTCGTTTTACTCGTCATTCAGCTAAGTCTCATTCGTTTACTGTATCTGTCCCTGCATGCTCTAAAAACTTTTATTTATCTAGTTTTTTTCCCCGCACTCTAATCCTTTGGAACTCTCTCCCATCTTCATGTTTTCCTGACTCATACAACATTCAACTTTTTAAGTCTTCTGTAAACCGTTTCCTTGCTCTATAACTCTGTTCTTTTTTTTTTTCTAGTAACTCCAAACTTAATAGTGGTTGCTTGCAGCCTTGTTGGGAGTGAATGCAAATAAAAAAAAAAAAAAAAAAGATAGCATTTCCTTATTAAAGTCATCAAACACACTGGTTCGGCCTATATTATGTATATTTGACAAAGTGACACCATTTAGTGTAGCATTATTTGTTAGTGATATCAAACCAAATAATTGTGATAATTTTTAATATGATTTTTTGCATGAGTATGAGTTATTATTTGCAAATGATATTTAGTATTATATATATAACTTCAATTACTTCTTGAGAAAAGGTGTTGCTAATGTACCAATTAAAAGTCAGAAAGTGTAAGCATAACCATTTTTAAAAAGATAAAATCCTTTGAGGAATTTTATTAGTTTAAAACCAGATTAAAAGGAAACGGGGAGAACAGTAAGTTGGTAATTTATATTTATAATTTCTATTTTAAAAGTTTGTCTGTTTAATAGAATGCTATTTAATTTCATCGTTTTCTTGATGAGCTTATTTAAATCATTCTTACATTTTACCACAATATTGTGTAAAAAGTAAATTCCTACTTACAAATCGATAAGTAACTTATTGACCTGATAACCATTTACACTCTGTAGAGTTTTTTACAGTCTTGTATTTATGTTTAACTATTTTGTCTTATATTTGGTTAAGAAATTATTATTTCGTTGCTTTGATAAAATAACTGTGAAAAACAACCAAATAAATGAAATTTTCTCTAAACTTTTATTTATTTTTTAGCTTTGTCACCTCATAAAAGCAGGTGGAAAAATGTTAAAGAAAATACAAAAAAGGTAATGGTCAGGTATGTATTTTTGTTTAACTCTGAATAATCAAACTGTTTAAATTGTGAGTAAATTTTATAGAAAAATCTAGCCCAAGGTAAGTAATTTAGAAAAACAAACAATTTTAATATTAATGTTAGGGGAGAACCTTAACGCTTATTGAATGGGACAAAATCAAATTTACATTTATAGATATCCAAACTCCTGTGGTTAGAAATGTTAAACACAACAATTTAACAGACCAAATCATTATTCCTATCATGGTCTAAATATGATGGACCACACATAATATTAGGAATGTTGCATTAATGGGAACTAACAGCACATTTGGAATGGTGGAAACATTTTTTTTTTTTTGGTGCGAGAAGTTAAGTTTAATTTATTTTTGAGCTTTTTTGTAAATTTAACTATTAACTCTCACATAGTGTGAAAATAAATGGTTATCAAATAATTTTCAATGTATAAAATAAGTAACTTTATCAATTTTTAAAAAGCATTTTACAAAAACTGCCCCATTTATTTAGGCTCTTCCCTACAGGTTTTACTTTTAATTCAATGTTGAAACTTTGAATTTATAAGTTTATAAAAAAATAAAGAACCTTTTCAAATTATAATCTTTGAATTGTTACTCCAATGTGTATTTACAATTATTTAAATAAGTTCGCTGGATCACTTTATGTAACATAACAAAGTAGTTATTTTCCATTTATTATTTGTTATTACGTTTTTATAAAATTATGGAGCACCATGTTAAGCCCAAGTTCAATATGAAAAGTAAAATTCGTGGTGATATAAAGAAGGTATCATTCAAAATAAAAAGTTGTATAAAGCAATAATTTTGGTACATTAATAATAGCTCAAAATTGTTCTATTTATCCTTTCTTCCTTACATATGTTTTTTATACTTAGATATATATAAGTCTTAAACCTTGAATGTTAGCATTGAAAATCAAACAAATAGTCACTTATAAACAAAATAACTTTTTAACTGTTATCCCGTTTACAATATCCCGTTTTGTATTTTAGAAGTCATCTAGCTAACGCACGAGAGTTCGACAGAAGCAAACAAAAGATCAAATAGGAAGCATTTTAAAGTTCTCTCCATCAAACAATTATTTATTTTTGAGTTTTTTGTAAATTTATAATACAAAAGAATATATAATACATCTTTAAAAAATTCTTTAAAAACGTTTATTGTATTTTTAGTTTGAATATCCCCAAAACTATTTTTCTAACCCTTTTTAAGGGGTTAAAAACCTTTATATAAACTTTGAATATTGATTGTAATTGTGTTTAACATTTAATGTTAATATATACGGTTATATTTATATAATAAACATGACACGAAGCTGTGTATAAAGGGCTTTGGCTCAGGGTTATATGAATAAAACAATAGCTATATTAACAATAAATATTACACAATTAAAATCATTATTTTACGTTAAAATAAAACGCCAATGTTTTTTTAACTTGTATTTACATTTGTATAACGTTAATCTAACTTTAGAATTTCACGTTAATATAACGTTAATATCTAACGTAAATCTAACGTAAGAATTTTACGTTACAAAACTTTTCCATTTTGCCGAACCGGCAACGTTATATTAACATAAAATCTAACGTAAATAAAACGTTGTCACCTCATAAAAGCTGGTGGAAAAATGTTAAAGAAAATACAAAAAAGGCACACAACAACGTTGTGTGCCTGCTGGGTTATAGCAAAATTGACGAAACTATAAAAAGTAGATTTTAATGTAAAAAATATAAAGTTATGCCCTCAGGATCAGTAAATTACAAAATTCATTAATGTACTCGTCGATAAAAAACTCAATACTTCAATTAATCTTAAAAACTCTGTCGTCAATAAAGGGATCTTTGTTGAGAGTAATGACTTTTATTTAAAAGTCATTACTCTCAACAAAGAATAAAATTTTTGGAATGATCAAAAAATCATTTTTCAATCTCAATATACGTAAAAAAATATATGTTTCAAAATTATATTATGATGATATTAAAAAAACATTTTGTAGAGTTGTGTTTAGTGAATTTTCAAATTTTAAATCATTTATTGTTGTATTCATTTAGAAATCATTACTGACAAAAGTGAAGTGTTAAAAAAAAAAATTATAGCTTTCTGGCGACGGTCATTGAAAGAAATTAGGAAAGAAAAAATAAAACCATAATTGAGCAACGCCCAATAATGAGCAGTGAAATATATTAGCCAATGCCCACTATTTGATAGTAAGAGTATAATACAGTAGTTTATAAATTTTTTTTCATTTGTATCATTTTTTTCATTTAAATCTGTTTCTTATAACTTCAAGTAAGTTTACTTGTTTACATTTTGTTTTGCTTAAAGCGTATTCTATGATCATTGTCATCTCCTAGACTATAACCTATTTAACTTAAAAGAATAATGCAGCCTAGCGTTATAGTGTCATTTAAACAAAAAAAACTTTTATAAATTTGAATAATTAAATCTTTAAAACCTATAAAAACTTTGAGCAACTTGAAAATTTTTCTAAGTGACGTAAGTAAAATTTAGTTATTGCTTACGAGTGTCTTGCTTTATTTTTAATTATTACTTTATGACTTTGATCGAAATTATTGATAAGCTATTTCTGAAAATAAAATACTCTGCAATAGGGCTACCTTCTGCCTAAACACTTTTGAAAATGTATTAATCTTTTATGCACTTCGCAACAAGCCTCAATCTATTTTATTCTTTACACATAAACTGTTAAATATAACCTGGAGGAAATAAAATTTTTTACATTATTAAAAGATATTTAACATTTAAAAATTGAAAAAATAAGATAAAAATTTAAAAAATACCGCTTATAAGCATAAGGCTTGCTAATAAAGACCCAACAACAATAGCACCAACTGTTATAGGATCAAAAGCATGCACTGTAACCAAAGAATTGAAAACCATAATCCATTTCAATTTGCTATTCATTATGAGTGATTTGATTTATAACTGAAGTCTTATGAAAAACGTCACAACTAAATAAAAACTGATAGTTTATTTAAAAAAAAACAAAAAAAGATAATGTAACACAAACAAATTCTTTTTTGACTAAATAAAACATGCTTGAAATTTTTGGGCATAAATAATTTTAAATTTAATATATATTTGTAATAACCTATGATATCTTATATTTATTAAAAGGTTTTTGTATAATTGAAAAAACACGTAATTACTAGACATTTATTAAAAATTAAATCTTTAGAAACTTTTATAAATACATATATCTCTTGAATATTTGAATGTTTCACCGAGGCAACCAATTTTTAGAGCACTTACTTAAATTCTTAGTACGTTTTAAGTACTAAGAATTTAAGAATTTATTTAAAATGTCAGGACATAAGGGTCTAATAACGCGAACATGAAAAAAAATAAATTATACATATAGCTAGGGATAGAATGAAGTGTACATTTATAGGCATTATTAAGAATGTCTAATAATGAAATAATAATAAAAAAAACAACTGTGTTACAGTCTTGTGGAAAATCTAAAGCAATTTTCCTAAGCATTCAAAAATTATTGAAAAACACCTGGCTTTTATAACATTGTGATTTGAAGCTCTATTGTTAGTGCAACAAATTTTTTTAAATGACAGTATAGCTGTATTTCGTTTTGAGCAAATGCAAAACAAAAATTGCTAAATATATAAAAAAAAAAAAATTATTCTAATAGAAGTAATTGTTTAATGTTAGCTAAGAATAAGAACTTTAAAATGAACTTTATTTATTTAATAAACTTTATTGATTAATTGAATACAAAATGAATAATATTATTAAAAAATGATTAATATTTTGTCCGGGAAAAAATCCTAATGTATAAGCTATTAAACATGTCATTAAAAAATAGCAGGATTTTTTTTGAAAGTGTTTTTTTTCCCAAAAGTTGACATTTTGATTTGATTTAATTTTTCACAGCATCAAAAACCATTTCCTGGTTTTTCAACCAGGTAGATAAGATTACTTCCAATACAATATGTTAAAGCAACGCAAATATTGTTTTAATGCGTTCGTAGTCATAAAAAAGAGTTTTTAAATCATATAACATTTTTAATCCCCAGCTCCGCAGAAAAGTCTCATTTTAAAATTTTATTCTCCTGTTTAATTTTGAAGATACGTTTTTTAATTGCCAAATTAAAATATACAGTATTTTTATCGTGTATTTTGTCGTGCATATGGCTAAATATTTGATAATAATTTTGTGGATCGTTATATTATAAATAGTATAATTGTGTATTGTTTATATTGACGTTGATTTTTTTTTGCGGTGTTGTTGCTAAATATTTTTATTATTTTTGCGTGTTTTATTTGTTGTTACTATTCATAATAATAAAATATCTTTTTGTTTTAAATTTTAACTTTATCGTCCTGCTTGTCCTTAAACGTTGTACAATCTAGTTCATTCGTTATCTCTCATGTCAGCTCATTAACCCAGCCAACCAACATATATGGGTACCGTATGGGATTTGTCCGGTAATCTGGTATGGGATTCATAAGGGCTTTTTTCGTGGGATCTATCTGGGACCCGTATAGAAAATAAATGAATAATTGATATCGAGGCAGATTTGAACAATTTAAAATCAAAATGGGTCGGCGCTCAATGCGCTTAAGGTAAGCGCAAGAAAGTATCACTCAGAATACAGAATACGATCACAAAAATACGTAATTATGCATTTATCATTTTAATTAAGTTATGCGAATTATATATTTTAATTATTTCATCTTTAAAAAACTTGTTATTGACAGCGTGGTTAATGACAGTTTCGTTAGCTAAAAAATAATAAAATAATAGTTTTAAAATTTAAAAGAAGAAAAAAATTTAAATGGATATAGAAATGACAAGGCATGTTAATTTTAAAGTTTAATATGTCGTTATTAAGATTTTTCCAGTTTATATAAGTTTGTTATACTTATTGACAATAAGTGTAACTTTTAGGTGGAAAGTTGTGTACCTCATAGGTACTCCGAGGCACATAAACTTTTCAAACATTTACAAATATAAAACAAAATACTTACAATTTGTTCTGTAACAATATTTTTTATTTAACTTGATGATATTAGTTACTCTAGGATTTTTTATTAAACATCCAGACATATTTTTTCATTTCTTTTTTTAATTTTAAAAAATAGCTTACACTGCAACCAAGGTACACCATCGGTGATGTACCTTGGAGGTATGTATAATGTACCTTGGAGGTATTACAGTTTTAACAGATTAAGTGCTCAACATGGTTGAAATTTGATATAATGTTTGCTTAAAGGATAATTGGACTTTACATTAGCCTTATTTAAAATAATATTATAAAATAATATTATTCTATAAAATAATATTATTCTAACTAGTTGTATTTATATATATATAAATACAACTAGTTGTATACTAATTTATGTTTATGTTGAATTTATATATGATTATAAATTAAGCTAATTAATAGTTAGAAGTATTAAAACTTACAAAAGAAATAAAGTTGATTAAGAAAAGAGTAATAACAAATATCTACATTAAAGTTTAGTATTATTAAGTCTTTTACTTTTATTTAGCATTTATCTACTCTACATTTAGGTAATCAAAGTTAATGCCAAATAATAGTTTTTCCAGTTGTCATGCTGAAGCTCAAGTAATAGAAAATGTGGCAACTGAAAGACATGTCTGATTTGTCTAACTCACAGTTTTATAATCTCTTTGACAATTTTTTTTCGACCTGTGTGATCAATAATAATAATAATAACAACAATAATAGTAATAATAGCAATAATGATATTATAATAATCATATTATTGTAGTAATATTACTATAGCATTATTATAATAATATTAAATTTATTATTATGATTATTCTTATAAAATTTTATCATTGCGTTATTAGTTCAGATATATCAGATTACGATGATTCAAACATATCAAGTAATGAGGCAGAAAATGATTTAAGTCTTCAGGGTGATTTGTTGAATTTTTAATTTATTTTTTTGAATATTTAATTTTTACTTATATCAAAAACATTCAAAGTAATTATGGTTTTGATTTATGCAAATTCAAATTTTAGATAAAAAAACGGTGTGTATTTACAATTCTGTTGAAGAAGCTGAACAATGCCTTCTATCTGTTAATGAGCCAACAAAAGTTTCAAGTTTGCAAGATTTTTTGATAATTATTTGCTCTGCAATATTTTTTTTTTTTTGCATTTATTTTTAAATTAATAAGATCTTCACATTTCAGATAAAAGTGATATCTACATATGTGATTCTGTTAAAGAAGCCAATCAGTGTCTTTACAACTATGAGATATATAATACCGTTCGCTTTGCTGCATTCTCAACTCCAAAGGATTTTGGTAGTACAGGTAAAAGGTTTTCTAATAATATAAATTAAATGAATGTTCAGAGTGACTTTATTTAAGTTGTAATATACACTGTAATATACATGTTTTATTTAGCTGTAATTTTACCCATAGATTAGTATCAAAGATTGGTTTAATTGATTATTATTTCTTTCCTTGCTTTGTTTATAATCTTTATTCTATCGAAAGATATTAATTAATAAGTATTGAAATAAAAATTTGATTACAATAATCAGTTATTAAAATTTATGGAGTTTTGTTTCTCTACTGTGTTCACAGCTTATGGTTATATCTATAAAGTTTAAATTATTTACACCTCATACAGCGTTGCCTCTGAATCAGGGAAGTTAAAATATAATTAGGGAAAATCTAGGGAAAAGCTTGATTTAATTTAAAATCAGGAAAAGTCATGGATTTTTTAATTTTTTTCTATTTTATTTTAATGTTTTCAATTGTTTTACAAAAATAATATTCTTTTATTAGAATACTATTTTAAAAATCATATCGCCCAAAAGGTTGTTCAAATATATTAATATTTAATCATTATGAAAAAAATTTAAGTTTTATTCTAAAAAAAACTTGGATATTTGGATAACTTGGATAAAAGTAACTGTTAGCCTTTTGATCTTATTAAAAAGCAGTTGAGCAACATTTATTTAGAAACTCTTCCTAAAAGTAAGCCACTGAAATTCAAAAGGTATGAAAGTCTTAGAGGAAAATAAAGGTTAATTGACTTGTTAACTTTTTTGGTTACATCACTAGTTTGTTGCAGAAAATCTTAGTGACAGACAGTAATGATTCTTTAAAGATTTGATTTCAACTACTGAAAGCTTAATGAGTTTTTGAATTACTTTTGTTTCGTTTTTTAGATTTATTTTCACACAAGCACAAAGTGTTATGGGAGACATCCCCAGAATTTTTTAATACACCTTACGATGTTTTGTCATCAAAAAGGATCGGTTGTCATCATGGCATTGATCGGAATTCTACTGCTAAACAAAAGTATATTGATGCAAAAGAAAATCAAAAAGTAACAATTAAATAGTCATATTTGTTATTGTAACAGATGTTCTTTAATTTTACTTAGAATTCTTTCCAAATATTAAATAAAACAAAAGTAGATGTTTATATATATTATACTAATAATAATAATGATATCATATTATTGTTATTATTGTTATTTTTATTATTACAGAAGTTTGATCATTGGTACAGAGGTGAATATGTGATTATTCAAGAAGTTTGACTTGTGATTATTCAAGAAGTTTGAATGTCCTGCAAAAGTTAAACATGAAAGAGATACTAGTTTAAAAGTATTTTACAAATATTTGCAAAATAGCATATATTTTTTACTATTTTTTTTAGTAACACTTTTTATGAATCTATCGTTGTTAGAAAAATTATAGCAATAAAAAGAATAATCACTTCTATCATTTTATTTTCATGTTGTCAATATGACAAATTATTACAAAAACCAAGTATCAAAAGATATTCGAAATTCCTTGATGAAGCATAATACTTTGGTATTTTGCAGAAAAATTAAAGTTGAAATAGACTGCCTATTATGTCACAAAAATCATCCCCTTGGAAAAGTAAGTATTTTGCGCTTTGATACGATTTTGCAGACTGTGATATATTAAAAAAATTAAACTCATTGATTCTTATTTTTTATTGTGTTACCTAAATGCGGTTTATTTTAGTTAAGAGTTCCTTAAGTAAAATGACCTAGTTAAGTAATGGTTATGCAAGTTCAAGAACAAGATCAATTTTTTCAAAACTAAATGGTTCTTTTTCAACTCTGCAATTGTTTTCTTTCAATTTACTTTTTTTTACCATAAACACTTTTAATTACAGTCTAAGTATAAATTTTAGTATTTATAATAAGTATTTATTATTGTTTAAATTTCAATGATTATATATTTTTTTAATATATAATAATTTTTTTAAACATAATGATTTTCCTTTTTTTTTTTTTTAGTTGCGTTTGTCACTGCTTTATTAGTTTGCCTACTGTTGAAATATGGTTTTAATTTAGTAAATTTATATGATGTGAAATTTACTCTATTAATCATCAGATAACAGTTAGGGAGAAATTGGAATTCTACATAATTAAGGTAAAAATGATTTTGTTTACTGGTATTATCATTAGTTGCCGATGGTAATATTACAAAATCAGTATTTATGGTTGATTTTGTTTCAGCTCTTTAGTGCTACACTGTAACATTGATATATAGTCATTATCAATAGTAGCTTTTATTATAATTGTAAATCTTAATTGTTTTTTTACCATTTATGATATTTCGTTATATCACAAATAATTATGCTCACGTAAAAAATATATAAGGATTTTATTCATGATATAATTTTTTAAATTGCTAAACTGCAATTGTCCCTGTAGTTTAATTATTTCAATAAACGAAATCTCTTGAGTTTAAGTATTTTGTTAAATAAAATATATTATTAAGTTGAGGTGCTATTTTGCAATTAAAAGATTTCTAGAGTTGGTTGTTGTATCTACCTAAAATTTCTATACCTCTTGAAAAGTCGGTATAAAATAAACAAAACGACTTATTCAAGAAAATTAGATAAGTGTTTTACTAATTAATTATTGCTCAATCCTTTAAGAACATCGAGCACTCTATTTGTAGAATAAACTAACATAATATATAATATATATATATATATATATATATATATATATATATATATATATATATATATATATATATATATATATATATATATATATGTATATATATATCATATGTTCAAGAATAATATATTAACTCGTTTTTGCATAACTTTTTTAATATTGAAATGAACTAATAAATCAAATAGTATTCTATAGCCTAACATCAAAAAAATAATATATTTTTTAAAAAAGCTATTTTAAAATATACAAATAGCAAAATATTTATTTATATCATATATGATACATCACGCAGTGGAACCTTATGAAGAAATGATAAACTAATGTTTGTTGTTAAAAATAGAGTTTTTCTAGGAATATTAGTTTGAGACTTATACATACTCAATAAAGATATCATTATAAATAAAAATTTTATTGATGGAACGCTTTAAAACAGTTGCGATCCTTATTGAGACATAGCGCAGTGTCATACATCTCACAAAATGATGTCGAGGCAGTGCACTTGTCATATAATTGCAACAAGCTTTCTATTAAAATTGGGCCAACTTGATCAGATCAAAATAATAAAAAGGTTTTATAACAAAAAAATAAATAAAATAAAGCAAGGGTATAAAGTTTTAACTTTTTAATTTTTTTTTTCCTTAGATGCATGATGTATCATTTCTGATACAGTTAGAAAAAGAGAATTTAAGTAATAAACGTTTACGAAAACGAAAACCTAAATACACAGGAGGATTACGAATATATATAAGAAACTTCGAGGACTTTGGTGAGCTTATAATTAAAAGAAATCTTTTGATAACATAAGCAATAAAATCGTTAAAAAAGTTAAAGTCACAAAAAAATTCGAAGTGCTATGGTAACATTCACCGTATGCTTAAGATAAGTTTAATTCTTAATAAAAATCGTTGCGCGTTCGATACGCCATTTATAAACTGTTTCATATATGATACAGTATGCAGAAAAGGCTTAAGTTTGTAAATCGACGATACAAAAATTACTTAATGATACTTACAAAAATATATTTTAATTAGACACTACTCGGTATTGAGTCTTGGATTATCGTCTGGTATAAGTGCAATAGCTTACAGTATCGATATCCAGATAACAGTATCGATATAGAGGTACCGATAGTATTATTAGTTATCGCAGGTCAGGTTTTCACAAGAAAATGTATTTTATTTGTATAAACAATTAGTAATTTGAAATATTAAATATATTTAATAATTGAGATGTAAGGGAACGTGGGGAAAAGTTATACTTCAAGAATGATTTTAATACTTTATTAACATAATGTATGTACTGCGCCAAACAAGTCTCAAATTTTAACAAGTTTTAAGTTTTACAAAGAAAGCATTATTTTGGGCACTGATTCTATTGATATAAAAGAATAATAAAAAGTGTTTTTCAAAATGGGCTTTCTAGAGTTATTATAATCTGCTTCACAATAAAGTTGTCCATAACAACTGGGCAATCATGGAGCTACATTATTTTTATATAAAATAATATGATTTGCAAAAAAGAATTCTTTAATTTTGTTAACATTTCTACACATAGCAGTCATAGATTGCAGCCATTAGTTTGTTTAATGTTTGGGCGTTTTAAGCTTTATTTTTGATTAGCGCAGAATAAACAGTTGGTTTCCAATCCAGGCAGGATATGTATGTATAGGATAGTATAGTGTATAGTATTTATAGCATGGATATATGTATAGGATATGTATGTTTAAGATAGTATGTCGTTCAAAATATAAAATGTTTTTGGTGGGGTTCAAAAATGTGGGATTTAACCACTCAATAGCAAATTTTTATAAAAATTGATTTCATACTATCTAATATTAGCGACAGACCTCTTTCAGTCAACCAATTAGAAATTCCACAACCAGATAATCCATATTTAAACAAAAAAAAAAAAAGCAATCGAACTGATTCTTTGGAATCATCAGTCAAAATAGTTAGTCCGGAAACCAGTCATCAATATCCTAATGACTGCCCAAGATTCTAGAAAAAGAAGACAACAGGGCAATAGTTCTATTAAGTAAAACTCTAGAAAAGACAGTAAATGAGAGAAATAATGTCAAAATCGGTAAAAATGGCACAAAAAAGAAAAAAGAAAAATTGACTTCAGAGAAGTCAAAGAAA